CCCTAGTAATAAAATTACATGTATTATAATGGACAAAACTCCAGCACACAGTGGGAGGATATCACTGAAGTCACACCCTAGTAAACAGAGAATGGAAAACTGAAGTCTAAAGCAGTCATGAAAATAAAATTACACTAGATGAAATCCTGTGCAAGCGCAGGGAATTGAATTTTTACCACTTCTGATGGAATGATTCTTCTCTTTACCTGATGTATTATGTCATACGTACTGTATTTCGGGGGTGCTCTGTTTCTATTTCCAACAAGGATAAAAGTAGGGAATGTGCACATTTTACGTGAATTTTCAGCACAATTTTTTTTGGGGGGGGGGGGGGTGTTAAAAATTAGCTTTTCACATCTTGAATTATGTATAGTCCCAATATTTAATACAAAAGACTGTTTGCAGAAAAATTGATTAAAGCATAAATTTTAAACGCTTATTCATCCATAAAACCGTATTCATCATGTTCATTAATTGACATTTTCTCTTTTGCAAGTTTGTTATATTGCTATATATACAATTTGTACTTCGGGTTCGTAGCCACGATGCTCTCAGTGGCGAATATAAACCTTTAACTGTTTTATTGATAAATTTGTTACTGTAGCACAACTTACTAACAGTCTTTCGATACATAAATATATCCACAACTTATAGTGTTATCGATTGCTTTACCATTATTTCCATGCCCATTGACATCAAAAACATTTTTATATCCATATAGTGCTATTTATGCCCCGTTTTTCTTTTAACATCGGGTTCGATGCCATCTGATGTTCTAGAAATTTCCATGAAGATACAGACCTACAAAACTAAGATCGGAAACTGGCGAAAACGATTTGAATATGTTGGGTTTTTTTTATCGTGATCATAACTTTTTTCTGTATAACGTAAATCAAGTTTTCACTGAATAATTCATTAATGGCATTTTATCAAATACACTGTAATTAAACGCTTGCTTGCCGTCAGTTTCATTAAAAATTGCAAGTTACTTAGATCCGCCAACCATAACCACCACTGTACTCTTTTTTGTTATTTCACGGCTGTTTATGAAATGAAAGTAAGCTTTTAATTAAATTTACGATAATAAGTATGCGAATGAAATCTGAAAATAGTTTACGGACATCATCTCATATCTAATGGAATAATAGAGAGGATTAAGTATGAACTATGGTGCAAGCGTTTGGGAGTTTATTTGCAAAATTTATTACTTTATAAGTATAGATATTTATGTTTTCTTTTTGAATCCAAGTTATACTCATGTGTAAATCTAATAAGTTTAAGTCAAATTTAGAAAATTCAGTGTTTTCCAATGCAAACTTGAACAACCTATTACTAAAATGATCAGCAGACAATAATGACACTTGGCTGTTTTCGCCCACATTTATTAATCTTTGATCCTTTTATTTGTCCTTTCATCCCTGCCCGTCGAAGTACCTACCCTTGCCCTGGATAGGCTCTTTAGACGATCAATCCACTTCTAGAAACATTTTTCATACTCCTCAATAGGGAAACGCATCATATTCCGATAAATTGCAGACCCAAGGGCATTTTGTGATTTGTATCTTTTTCTAGATACGTGGAACTTAATTTTGGGAAACAGAACGATACAACGTCCTCGACCCCTGGGTTGAAGCCTCTGCTGGTGGACTGTTAGTCCCCGAGGGTCTCTACAGCCCAGTAGCCAAGTATTTCGGTACTAGCTTGAAAATACGGATATATATTTAATTGCTGTGGTAAAATTTAGAAATTGATTTCAAAATTAAGGATTATCTCTCTCATGATTAGCTCATACCCTTCGACGTATTTGGCTCCTGTCTTTGGCACCCCCTTTTTCAGCTCTTCAAAGTTTGTTTGTTTGTTTGTTTGTTTTTTTAAATATTTTGGATTTCCAATATCTTTTCATTGCAATAAACTTGATATATTTATACTATAACATTGTTTTTAATTAAGGAATGTTTTTAAGATTTGTGTGAGTTATTGGTGTGTAAATCACACAGACTTGTCACGTATGCATATTTCATGAAAAATATGCCTACGTGCAAGTCTGTGTGATTTACACACCAATAATTCACACTAAACTTAAAAACATTCCTTATATTTACCTTTACAAATTCAATAGCACCAAAACTATACTCAATATTTGAATTATTCGCTGTGTTATATCGTTACATTTTTATTCACGTCTCTGTAGCTCATTGTGACGTCACTTTAGCTTTAGTTTCTCTGTGCATATTTCTACGCTTGAGTATACACGAAAATAGTATTCAAATCAATTTCGCAGTTGACTTAGTAGAAAAACATAGCAAATCTAAATATAACAAATTAAAATTCCTTGAAAAGAAATTAAAACATTGACAAACGAAATTATGCAATCCAAACGATTGTTAGAATAATAAATTTCCGGTGATTGAAAAACTTTTTTTAAAGAGTGTGTATTGAGCTATAAAGTGTGAAATGTATAGGAAAAGTATTTTTGAGAAGCTGTTGACGCTTTAACGTTACATTGTTCTGAAGTTGTTAAGTTGTTGTTAAGTCCGGGTTCACAAATCATGTTGATTTCAAAATTAAGTAACGTAATTTCTATCAAATCACATGGAATGACAGCGGCGGATCCAGGAATTTCATAACTGGGGGAGTGCAGTAGAAGGCAGGGGGTCTGGGGGCTGCATTGAATCCCACAGTGGGTCTAGGGCAAAGCCCTTGTTGGAGTCAGGGGGAGAAGTCCCCGGAAGCTGACGAATTCTTACAAATAAGAGGTGTTTTTTCCTTGATTTTAGGATAACGGACATATAAGGTCTACATAAATTAAAAAAAAAATCAGACCGGGGGTGGGGGGGTGGGGGGGGTACAAGCCCGGCGCACCGGCGCTGGGTCAGCCTTTGAATGAAACTTCACACGTCAACAAAATAAATATTTTACATTTGATAATGTGTCCATTTTAAATTTCTTAAAAACAGTATAACGAAGATTGACATCGTCCGCGAACTTCATTTTGAAATTTCTTTTTCCTCTGAAACGTAGTTATTTGACAACATGAGCAGATGAAATCACATTCATTTTACATCGAAAATTTTCCTTTACCTATTTACAAATGGAATGACAAGGGGTCGGGTTTCTCACTAGATTTTTTGTTATATCTTTCTGTTATATTCTGACAAATTAATATTACAAACAAGTTTGAAATTCCCTGACGTCCCTGACATCACATAACATATTAGAAAAATGGACTGGTTTCTTAGTATTTCTTTACGAAGCAACTCAAAGAAAAATTGGATCCTTGTAGTAATTTCCACCTGCGCAATCCTCTTCGAGGGACATTCCCTATAACTTTGAAGTATCAGATGCTTAATTTTATTAGACACGGTAATTAGAAGAACAAAATACAAGATTTTAAAAAATTTATTTCTTACATGCTGTTTTCATTTAAATGATAACGATCTAGCTCCTAACGATAACCGTGTACATGTAAGCGTCTAATAACAATGAAAATATTAAAAATGCTAGACATACTATTATTATTTTTTGTGTGCTTTTGGTAAACTTTCTTGACTTCTGTCCAATTGTCGAGGGACAGAGTGGAAAGTAAAATTCCTTTATATAAAGACATTTCCGACAAACCACTGATCAAAAAGTATCCCTTGAGATTGAAGTAATCTAGGCACTAAATTTCATATGTACGATTTATTTTTCTATTTAAATGATGGTCTGGTTCCCACCCCCCGCCACTGCGTTTTTCACTTCATTTTTGGGTCTCCAAAACGAAGTGAAAAACGCAGTGGCGTGGGCGGGAACCAGACTATTTGAATGATAACGTTTAAAAGATACCTAAAGGCCCTTTCACAATTGGCGCACGAGCACTTTACAACACTTTGCGATCGGAATTTTTTAGCTTCGCGCGAGCTCTCGCATACGTTGCACGATGTCTCGAATTCTTTGCATGCGTTTTAGTGGTCGCATCAAGTCTCCTCAAAATAGCGGACATGCACACTATTCAGACGCAACCAAATGCGATCCAAATTATCGCAATGCAACGCACGAACATTAGTACGAACGTCTTACAACGTTTTGTGTACTCGTAAGAGTGATGCACAATTTTTAAAGGTCGTAAGATAAATCGCAGCTGTCTATGCGTGTGTTTTGCGACCTTGAGAATGTCGCTCAACGTGTCTCATGTAATCTTGCAACGTTTTACTATCATTGCACGATTTATCAGCTTCAATTTACCATGCAGATTTTATATATATACACCATATATATTATATATATACATCAATACGATATCAAACCGCCAAAACACTTTGCTGTCACAACGATACAGTCAATTATTAAATATGCACATTCTAAACGAAGAAATAAGAAAAATTGCAGCACTGTGTCGGGTTCTCTAAATTTAGAATTGCGTGGCTGATGGATGTTGCCTAAATGCACTCGATCGAGTATTCGTACGCATGATCGCAAGAGCGCCGCACGTCCAATCGCATTGGCGCACGTTCAATCGTTCGATCACCTGATTACTCGCTCGATGCTATCGCATTATCTTACAACACTCGCTTTCATTTTATATCAGTCGCATATAGACGCAAGATATATCGCAAGATTTAATGCATTTGCATCGCACAACGGTCGCTTTAGATCTTGCGAATTTCGTACGAACACTTTTCATATGCGATTATTTCGGCAACAGTTTACGATCCAAATCATTTTTTTTTTCGGTCGCAGGAATATTTTGTCGCGTCTGCTCTTGCGCCAATTGTGAAAGGGCCTTAAACAATAAATTTTGAATACTCCTAAGTAGACGTATAATTATTGGCCCAGTTTCACCCCAGTGTGGACCTCATCATAGGCTGGTTTACGCTCTTGTTATTGACATGCGCAATGTAGATCCCTTTGCCTCGTTCGATATAATCATCATTTATAAGGTATATATAAACCAAAGTTTTTGTCACGTCTCTGAACAGTTTTCCCTTCTTAAAATATTTATACTTCACAGAGAAATTATTATGATTGTACTTTTAATTCTCAGTTTTGCCAATCGTCTATTGGTTAGAGCATGTCCTATTCTTCTTGAGGAGGATACTGAATTTGAAAATAATTGTAAAATTCCTGCATTTAATGGAACTTTGGAATGTTCATTTGAAGTGTCAAATGAGTGGAACTTTCTGGAATTCAGAGAATGGATAGACAACTTGAAAAATAACGTTACACTTGAACTTACCTGCTTGAAAAATGGAACAGTGTTTTTACCTGCTCCTTTCCGAGCCAGGAATCTTCGGAAGCTTTACGTAAAAAATTGTGTGATTGATGGCTATCATTCTGAAAACTTTGTAATATCAAAATATCCTGACTATATGTCATACTTATCTCTCATAGATGTTGTAATTCTTATTGACCCTATAGAAATAGCTGGAAGGAGTGTAAATAAATCTCAATTTCTGAAATCTGACTACTGTGGACAGGAAACACTTCTGGGTTTTGTCGAAAGAAACGTATCTGAATTGACGGTGTTGAAACCAAATGTTACACACGAGGATATGATCGTTATGAGCAAGTTTTTAGATGATACAATGAAAAAGGTTGAAAATAAGAACCATACGTGCAATTTTAAAAATATGAAATATATTGAGCACTCGGACATGGATATAATACGTCCCATATTTTTTGACTCTATCACAAAGAAAAAAACATATCCGAGTCTTGAAAACTTTAATTTCTCTTCAAATTCGTTATCAGAAATCCCCAGTCATCTTAGTCACTGGTGGCATTATTTTCCTCAGTTATTACACATAGATCTCTCCAACAACAATATAAGAAACTTTTCCTTTGAACAACCTGATGCTAAACCGAGTAACGTGACAATCGACCTCAAACATAACTCCATAACAAGTGTGCCATGGGACCTGTCCCTGTTAACAATTGGGAAAACAGTGATTGTGGTTGATCTTTTGGACAATCCCATTCACTGTGATAGTCGCGCTTGCGTACTCTCCAAGTATCTGAACGATCTCCCTCGGCTGGGTTTTACAGGTGAATTCCTTGATATAAAGTGTCATTCACCAAAGGATATGGAAGGGACGAAGGTTAAAACACTCTTCAACTCCACATTTTGCAAATAGAGGGTTTCCAATCTCAAATGCTCTGTTCAAGTTGTTTGCATTTTGTACTTTTATCTACGAGGGACTTCAGAAGTTACAGAAAAGATACATACATTTTAACTGACTGTTTAATGATTTTTTTAAAATTATTCACTTAATTCATATGTATGATATCCATCAGATTGTGTTGCATATTTTTTGGTACATTTGTAATTTGAATGATTTCCTCCTTTAAATTTTCTTATCTCTCTGTTTGTTGTTGTTGTTTTGGTTAATTTATTAAACCAACAAAATACTTTGGGGAAGTAATGTCTTTCTTATTTTGATTTCCCTTGAAAATATTCATTTTATGGATCATCAAAATACATATAATTAACTTAACATGTCTTGGTTAAATTGAATGAACACCACACATACATAAGGCATTATAATGGACTTGTAAATAGTCATATATTATTAATAGTAGCCTATAAAATTACTTTGTTAAACATCATTCCGATTGTACACACAAGTACTTTGAAGTGATATTAAAAAGGTGCTGGTGGTCCTCATTGACAATATTTATGTATATTCTTTATAGACTAAGGTCTTCCAACAATCTTTTGGATTCTGTTGAATGCTTATTGTGCTTATTTATAACCCGATCTGATTTCATATTCTTATGAAGCAAAATTTATTCAAAAAACTTTTAAACTGAAAGAAGAAATCGCTAACTGTTCCTGTTAATTCAATTTTTCGATATATTGACTTTTTTTTAAAATTAAAAACCAAGTTATTTTCATTCATTCTCAACTTCATACATCCCAGTGAACTTAAAATAAAGATACCACATAGCCTGCCATATGCTTCATACTTGGATAATTTACCGACTATAAACCTTAATGGCCAACTTACAACTAAAGTATATTACAAGCGGGATGGCTTCAACTTTTACATCCTCAATTTTTCCTGTTTAATAATATTGCTCGATCACCTGCATATGGTCTTTATAATTGATTCGATACTCAAGAGCATGATACTGACAAATAAGTTAATTTTACAGGGTTTTCAACTATCTCATTTAAATTCAGTATTTAGTAAAGTCTTTGGTTTAATGTTGACCATGTTTGCTAGTACAACGTTGTACCTACCGTTAGGTTGGCTGACACGTTTATCACCAATTGTTTGGCTACAGATTTTATACTATTCGATTACGGACTACTCCGTTCTATATATGAACAATATATAGGGCTCAAGGCGGACATGAGAGGTTGACAGGGATGCTAATACCGCATTTGGTGTTTTAAGGGGGGGGGGGGGGGTCAGTGTTATTGCCTTGTTCAGGATTCATATTCTTCACTCGATTTATGAGACTGATCACTGTTCGTTAACTTCATATTGGGCTAATAATGTTATTTTTGTCATATTCTCAGTAATAAGGTAACCTCAAGGTAGAACAAAATACTTATCATATAGAAAAATACACAACCTTTTACGCATTACAGAAAAAAATATATATATAACCCGCGGTAAACGGGTTATGCTTTGTATTTTATCTTCAATACTGTATTCAGGGAAATTTTCACCTCCGTTTTATATTCGCCCCTTTCGCCCTACACATATGGGCGAATTTAAGACGGAAATAATTCAAAGAAGACAGTATTCTTTCTTAAACAGAACTGTGACTGGGCGAATTTAAAACGGGCCAAAATTGTTTGCAAGTACGTGTGAAAGGGCAAAAATAACACGGAGCGGAAATAACCCTGTGTACAGTAGTTGCAACCGTTAATTTCCATATTAACAAAGATTGGTACCAGAGAACTTAGCTACTGGGCTGTAGAAACCCTCGGGGACTAACAGTCCACCAGCAGAGACCTCGACCCAGGGGTCATAATGTAAATCATGTACGGTACCAATTCTGATTCCCCAGATACGCATTTCGACAAATTATGTCTCTTTCAGTAATGCTCATGCCGAAACGTTGAAAATCTGAATTTTTTAAATAAAAAAGTCTATGAAGAGCTGAAAAAGGTGCTGCAGGATCAGAGGTATGCATGAAGGAGATAATCCTTAATTTTGAAATAAATGGTTAAATTTTACAACAGCAATTATTCGTATTTCAAGCACACCATCCAAGAAATATAAAAGCCAAGATAATGAAAAGAACACCAATTCCAATAATTTGTATGTTACTAAAATGATTCTGAACATTTCCTACGCGAATAAACGCGATACTTCCGCAAATAAACACGAAACTTTCGCGTAATAACGCAAAATTATGTATATAGTCATGTTAATCAGGAATCCGTGATGTGGGCGTATCATAGGCTGTGTCGTTGCACTTTATTGTTACATTTAATGCATATTCCGATAGTTTTATTGCTTCTTTTTTTTTTCCAGGAGTCTTTAATAGCCTAAAATATTAATGATCACCCATCCCTTCTAAATGATCAAATTGGCTATAGAGATTAAAGTTTTTCAATTGCTCATTTATTGTAATCCTCATCTAGTCAAATTAGAAACATTAATAGCATGTAATATCTCTTGTCAATTTATGTACACTGTATGTGTTAAACATTACAAAATTATTGAAATAACACTTGTTGTTTTTGTTTTTTTAAACACTTTTTAGCTCACCTGAGCTGAAAGCTCAAGTGAGCTTGTCTGTTCACCCGTTGTCGGTCTGTAAACTTTTCACATTTTTATCTTCTTCTCATGAACCACTGGCCTAATTTAAAAAAAAAGTTGATATAAAGCATCCTTAGATAAAGAAAAGTTTAAAATTGTTAAAATGAAGGGCCAAACCCTCTTTTAAAGGGGACTAATCAAGAAAAGATAAAAAAGATAAAAAGTTGATCCTACCACTGATGCTTTTAGAGGTCCGTGTTTGCTCTGTTCCAGATTTGTTTCAATGGACTTTTGAGGTTGATAACTGTTCGTGTAATCTAATTATACGTTCTTTGAATTCTATTTTATTAAATTTAAGTGACATATTGACGTATGGAATACATGTCTTCTTTTTTACTTTTTACTTTTTTCTTATTTTTGTTTGATTTGGTTGATATGTTTAATGTTGCTTGTCTATCGTAAACATCAATTCATATTATCCAAATACGTAGTTGATATGTAAGAGAGTTTTTATTCCTCAGTTTTTATCAGAAAATGAAAGATTAAAGAAGATAAAGGAGATTGAAAGTATACCTATGTATTGTTTTTAAAAATGAAAGATGGACAGATATGGATACAGCAGTCAGATGAAAGATAGACGGATATGGAAAGGACACCTCTTTGTAGTTGAACAGATGTGAAAACAACACCTGTTTTATGTGCCTAAAATCCTATCTTTGCATCAATTTCTATTGAAGAGGCGAGGAATAAAGTCTACAGTATATACTTTTCACTTTTTTCACTGCGATTATTTTGTAGTCTAAGAATGAGAAGAATAATCCTTTTTCTTTTTCCTTTTCAAGTTGGGCAAAAATTACATTTTTGCACTTTCATTTATATCAAGTACATGTAATTGGTTTACAATTTCAGAACTTACTACTGCATTTAAAGAGTTGAACGTGTTTTATTTCTTCATTATAAGATTTTTTTCAGAAAAAAAAACTCCCAAAAATGAAACTCTCAATATTGCTATATTGCAAAGAACACGCTCAGAAAACTTTATATAAATAAAAGACTTAGCAATATCGAAAATACAGAATTTTAAAAGTAGCCAATTTGAATTTGATTTTTTTAAATACATGTATCTATAACTTATTTCTAACCATGCAAATGTATGGAAAAAATGGAAGACAAATACGTTCAATTTGCATATGGTCTTAATTTTCTCATTATTTTATTTTAGGGGCGGTAGGATTTTTTTGTGTGTGTGAGGCAGTCGAGAGATATTAATTCAATTGAGGTAGAACTATTCTACAAAATTAAAAAGAAAACATGGCAATTAGAGTTTCCTGGTCTGGACGATTTTCAAAATGATAGCTGAAAGTTGCTATTAATACACTACATATATACGTCACTATTTTTCTGCCCAATCAGAAAACAGCATTTTCACAGCCTGCAGGGCTAGTATTTTTATTAAATTCCTACTAGCCCAGTTCCCTAATTAGTTGTCCAGCAGCCATAGGCTGTCCATTTCAGCAGATACACCCCCAAATCATTAGAGTAACCCATGCAACACAACCGGGACTAATGCATTGCGGCATCCACTCCTCTCCGGGTCTCCGTCACACATATACGCGATTATTTTCTCCAATGATTACTTTACATTCATCAGAAAAATTAACACGATTCTAGTCACCATCAACTTTCCAATGCCTTTTCCCCCTGGCCCATTCTACTCGTGTTTTTAAGTTTACATCTCGGATTCGTATGGGTTTTTTTTTCTAACAACTCATCTGTATTTATTTCAAAACAAGCACCTTTCCACAGTTATTTCTGAAACAACATTTTCTCCGAAACTGGTTGAATCAAGCAGTAATTTCTTTCAGAGGTTCGACACGATATGTTTTGCTAACCTCAAAATTGATCGTTCGTCTTGACCACTTAGTGTTTTCTTTCTCCTCGTTAGAACTAGGCTTATTTTACACCGAACCCCGTTCCCGATATCGCTTTTTCACAGCATATAATGTACATCGGTTTAGATCCAGGCTCTTCGCAATTTCTGATTGTTTTATTCCACTCTGAAAACTATTTACGATCCTTTGATTTAAGCTTGGTGATAAATCTTTAACCTTTTCCATTCTATATCTATATACAGAACCACGTACTTAATTGCGTCACGAAACATGATACGTCATATCTTATTATAATATAAGACGTCATTTTACCCAGTCATGTGCCCTTTTTATTCAAACATGCATACTGATAGGAGTGACAGGTGAATAAAAGTGTTCAAATTTTATAAATCGCAATGGGGACGCCTTTTTTGTTTATAATATTATGATCCACCGCTGTAGGTCAGACCAAAACAACTTCTGGTAATTATAAAGTTGACAGTCCAATTGGTCCTTAAATCTTTTTTAACAAATTTATCAAAT